TAGGAGTTATATTTAAGTGTCTGCCTCCCTGACTAGATTTGGGAATACCCAAACACAGTCTGGTCAATGTGAGACCTCTATTTTAATATTTCACTATTTTTATTTTATGTGTATGCGCATTTTGCCTGCATATGTGTAAGTGCACCACATGAGTGCAATGCCCACAGAGGTCAAAAGGTTTTGGATCCCCTAGAACTGGAGTTACAGTTGTTAGCTGCCATGTAGGTACTGGGAATTGAACCCAGGTCCTCTGCAAGAGCAGCCAGTGCTCTTAACCACTGAGTTATCTCTCCAGCCCCCAGATCCCTTATTTTAAATATTAGGTAGGAACTGTGTCCTTGAAATTATTTTCATACCCTCATCTCTCCAAATGGGGCTACAGAGATTTGTTTTCTAAGGAAAACAATTTATAGAGTCTCTAGGAGTGTGAATAGAATTTTTCCTTTATTGGGGGCCTAGGAAGAAAGGAGGTATGGGAAATGAAAGGCTCTGGCCAAAAAAAGAGGGTCAGATTAGTGCCTGTACCTTGAGCATGGACCCATTCTGGAAGACATGCTGCTCATCACAAACCACACAGTACTCATTCAATGTTGGAATCCTCTGCTCTGCATACTTCATGATCTGGAAAGAAAGAGAGTTTGTCTTTTTGAAGTATAGGCACAGATAGAATTTTTTTGGTTTTGTTTTAGAACTAGATATAATTTAAGTTTCTTTTCTAGCTACTCTACTTCCTTTGCCTAAAGCAAGATCTACGCTTGGATCCTGAACTTAAACTGATAGCCTAACTGCACAGCTGACTTTGTATGGTACTATACAAATAAGACCAGCATGACCTTTGAAGTAGATGTCCTGAGTCAATATCCCACAGCTACTATTTATCACCAAATAACACTGAGCAACTCAGTTAACCTGAGCCTTGGTTTCTTCATTTATAAAGCAGGGCATCACTTACCTCATAGGTATATTGCAAGAAAAAAAGATAGGTCCATGAAAATATCTAAAATTTGGGTAGTCAGAGAGATGGCTCAGTAAGTAATGGCACTTGCCACCAACCCTGACAACCTGAGTTCAATTCCTAGGACCCATATGTAGAAGAGAACCTATTCTCACAAGCTGTCCTTTGACCTGCACATGAGGGCTGGGGCATGTACAACACACACACACACACACACACACACACACATACACACACACACGCACACACACACACTCTTACACAAATAAATGCAATAAATTTTTTAAAATGTTTTAATTTTATTTATTATTATGTATGACAGGGGGCACATGGGTCTCAGGGCATATATGAAGGTCACAGGACAATTCTATGAAATTGGTTCTCTCCTTCTACATTTATGTATATTCTGGGGATCGTACTCAAGTTGTCAGACTTGTGTGGCAATCGCTTTTACCCACTGAGTCATTTCATTGGCCCCGATGAAAGTAGTTTAAGACTATAAACAGATGCTACAAAAGGCTACAGTGGCTGTAGAAATTATAGATTGCTTCTTCAGGTGAGTATTCAGTCCAAGATTAGATGTTAGAGGGCAGGGCTAAAAAAGCTGTTTCTACTACCTAGAACAATTTACCAGTCTCCTGGTCAAAACCACATAAACACAACGCCATGCTAGGAAGATGACACAAATCCAGAGGCCATGCAGCAATTTCTTAAACTGTTTTGTTTTAAAATGTTTTTTGTTTTTTTTTAAATTTTATGTGTGTTGTGAGTGTTATGCTTGCCTCTCTGTGTGTCGTGCAGTATCCGCAGAAGACAGAAAAGGGTTTGGATCCCCTGAAACTGGAGTTACGGGCAGTTTTTAGCTGGGATTTGAACTCAGGTCTTCTGCAAGAGCAGCCAGTCCTCTTAACTTCTGAACCATCTCTCCAGCCCCTTATTTATTTTAAAACATTGACTTAACATGATTTTTGTTTCTAAATTAGATTGCTCCCATTTTCCATCTTTCTTTTTTTTTCCATTATCAATAAATTTATTGAAAGGTGTATCTCTTAGTACCAAACATAGTGATAGGTTACTTCTGTCCACTCAAAATTAACACTGGTGTTTCCAAAATTGAAGTATATCTGCCCTTTGGAGAAACTGAAAAGTTATCCATAAAACATGGTTTACAAAGGTTAAGGATAAAATACGCTGTGGTTCTTTGGTTTATTTTTCAGTGGTTATTTATCCATTACATAATGTCAGCTTGGTCACAACCATTCTGGATGGAGTCAAGCTGCACACCGCACTAAGTAGCCATCCTCAACCCTGTAAGTCTGACATTCACAGGCCAACATGACAGCCTGAATCCCACCTACGTGATCTCATAAGTGCCTCCTTACTTTTCTTAAGACACAGTTGAACAAGTTTTGAAAATATATTCTCTAACTTTTAAAACAAAATTCTACTTTAGAAGCAATGGCAGTTTTATAAAAACGATCTGTGGTAAAAACTTCTGGAGTGCTTTGGCTAGCTTGAATTTACTGTAATGCAGCAAATTTTCAGAGACAATTCATTGAATTATTAATACAACAAAAACAAATTTTCTCAGATGGAACTAGAGGCAGTAATTCTGTAGCAAAATTTTTATCATGCATACAAACCACCTGTTTTTCATAAAAAATATTAAAGATTATTTGTAAAACTTTTGAAGTCTGTATTTTTTACTTTATATAAAATGCATAAAAGTTTAAATGTAATTCTCATATGGCAATAAAAACTCCATTTCTGAATTATCAATTACTTGCATTATGGGTTCCAAGAAACCATTTACTGCCTAAAATATTAACCCTTATAATGCCTTAAAAGTGCATTTGTGAAATGTTGGTTTTGATGCAAACTTCATTAATTTAAATTTTTATATTCATATTTATTTCATATTCATATTTATGTTCATATTTATATTATTTATGTTCATATCTAAGATTCATAACCCTACATAGATGTGTTAAATGTTGACTTTTAGGTTTTTAATTTTTTTAAAAACATATATTTCTTATGTGTGGGTGAGGGTGGGGAGCACACGTGTGGAGGTCAACAACCAACCTGGGGGATTTGGTTTTCTCCTTCTACCACGTGGTTCCTGGGGATGGAACTCAGGATGTCAGACTTGGCTGCAAGTGCCCTTTCCTGCCAAGCCATCTCACAAGCAACATTTAGTTTTAAACAAAAAAGGACAAATCATTACTGTGCATTAAGAAATTTGGATGGCAAAAACGTATACATACCAGTGACCAAGTTTACAGTTCTTAATGCATATAATTACTCTCTAACAGTCCAACTGCTATAGCAATGAAATACGTATAGAGTTGAGACACCCTAACAATTTCCAGAAACCTAACATACAGACTATCTGCACCATATTTCTTTGAAGTACAGCACTCACAGTCATAATACTTTTGCTTGCCGCTAACAAACTCAAACTTATTCAAATATGGGTCAAACTTTTGGTTTTGTTGTCATACTTGGGCTTGTGTAACTTTAAATAAGCTACAGCGAAATGATATGCAATTTAGTAAATACTAATTCAGTACCGCATTAAAAATTCAGGATTGGAGGATGCTAATAATTTAATGAAATTGCCAACACATTTAGAATTGGGTAAGTCCTTTCCCTCAAGAATGCTGTGCCTTGTACACAGTTACTGCTTTTAAATATTTGCTAACTAGATCAGTGAAGTCATGTTTCCCTTTACTATTTCACTCCCATATTGTTTATGTTGAATATAATATTTGAATTTTTCAATTGTAAAAGAATATCGCACTGGTAAATTTTCCCTATATAGAGAATAAGAATCAATTTTTTTTTTTTTGGTCTTTTTGAGACAGGGTCTCCCTGTAGCCCCACCACCTGCCTCTGCCTCCCAAGTGCTGGGATTAAAGGCAGGTGCCACCACGCCTGGCTAAGAATAACAACCAAATTTACCAATTAAGATGCTATCTCAGGAATTGTTGGAAGGTGAGTTATTCTGTAGTAACTGTGCTTCAACTGTCTTGCAGTCCGCCCAGAAACAATCCATTTCAACTTCTGAACATTTGGTTTGGAACACTTGTTTGATGAATATTCAGTTAACCACTTAGATATGAGCTCTTGCCAGAACATCAAATCTCGGCCATTTACCTTGAAATGTTTCTGAAGACATTCTACTTCTTCCATTAACTCTCCACACTTCAGTGCTTGGATTTCCAAAGCAATGATGGACAGTGCCAGCACAGAAGGCTTTGCTTTAGAAAATATGATCCTGCAGTGGCATGCCTTAAGCTGAGCTTCTAGTCTTTCAAAATTAAGACACTTTCTCCTTTCAAATGGCAAGTTCTCTTGAATGAGTGAATAATAGAGTTGCAAAAATTGAAAGGCAGTAGTGGCTTTGACTTTCCAACACACCTTCTCCAACATAATCTTTTCCATTCTCATCAAGTCTGAAACCACGAACCTGTACTGACTTATTCGGATCAAGTCAGTTGCCAATGGGACATTCCTTTCCTCCTCTATTGACTTTACAGCCAAATAAAAGCAGCTCAGTCCAATATACCCAAGATGTTTTGCCTGTACCTTCATTTTAGCAGGAATCTGTCCAGTAAATTCACAGCTAGAGAAAATGTCTCCGTGTCGAAGCCGAAGAAATGAGTTAGACCGAGTAGATCTTTTACTTCAAAGTCCCTGAGCCTTGCAGTCACTCTCAGGCCATTATCATGTGCAGACTCAATTAGCTTCAAGCCACAGACCTTTGGCTGACATCTAGACTCCTGTTCCAACAGGGCGTTTAGCTGGTGCAGCAGTTTCTGAGTCAGTTGTCAGTACCTCTATCATCCTGACAGGAATGGTGCCTCGTGCCCACCCTCCCCGGGCCTGCTCTCAGCTCGCCCCACGATCCCCGATGCGAGAGCCTACGGGGCGAGTGGCCTGGCAGGCGGGTAAGCCGGAGAGGGCCAGGGAGGGGACGCCGTCCAGGGTGGAGGGGTCCGCAGCGCCCCAGAACCGCACCGCCCTCCTCCAGGCCGGCTGGCTGCCCCATTTTCCATCTTTATGGGCTGGTAATAAGACATTATGTAATGGGTTTTATTCATTCTTTAATGGAAATCTACTGAAGACCTATTAAGGACCCAGCTCTGTGAACGATCTCCTCCTGGACTATGAAATAATTTAAGAGTTGTTTTCAGGCACTATTAGCATGTATCCAAATTAGTTACAAGATGGGCTATAGTATAGTGGGTGCTACATAAAGCAAAAAGGACTGTAAAGTGTGAGTGGAAAGATCACCTCTAGCAATGCAGTTCGAATAATGAAGATTTTTCCAGAAAAGGCAGTCTACCTGAGTCTTGACTTTAATAGGCAGTTACTAGAGAAAGGCTAGTGGAGTGACAGACACAAATAAAGGTAACAGAGGTAAGTAAAAGCTAATCAGAAGAATTTTTTGTTTGTTTTTGGTCTTTTGAAGACGGTGTCTCCCTGTGGCACAGCTGGCCTAGAACTCGCTATGTAGACCAGATTTGTCTCCATCTCACAGTGATCTACCTGCTTCTGTCTCCCAAGTCCTGGGATTAAAGGTGTGAGCCACCACACCTGGCCAAAAAAAAAAAGATTTTTTAAAAAAGAAGCAAACACCAGTAACCAAGCAATAAAAGGAAGTCTGTGAGGAAAACTAAAGACTAAAGCAAGGAATATTGGTGATCACAAGGACTGAGTACCAGTCAAGAGTACTCAAATCTTGACAACTACATACTTAAAATTTGCAGGTCTGGAACCAGCAGGATGACTGACTGGGTAAAGGACTTGACCCTAAGCTTGACGATCTGAATTTGATCCTCAGGACCCACATGGTAGAAACCAATTCCCACAAGTTATCTTCCACATGTTCATGGTGGTGCCCAGGGGCGCACACACACACACACACACACACACACACACACACACAAATAAATGTTAAGAACGAATTTTAAGCCTGGTGTGGTGGCACACACCTTTAATCCCAGCACTCAAGAGGCAGAGACAAGTGGATCTCTGAGAGATCTAGGCCAACCAGTTTTACATAGGGAGTTCCAGGTCAGCTGGGGGTAGGAAAAAAACAAAACAAAACAAAACATTCTAATTAAAAAAATAAAAATAGCCCGGCGTGGTGGCGCACGCCTTTAATCCCAGCACTCGGGAGGCAGAGGCAGGCAGATCTCTGTGAGTTTAAGGCTAGCCTGGTCTACATAGTGACTCCAGGACAGCTGGGGCTAGAGAGACCCCGTCTCAAAAAGACCAAAAAATAAAAAATAAATAAATAAATTTTTTTTAAAAATGGGTAATTCCCAAGATTTATCTGCAAGACACACAGTAATTAAAAATGCCAGAATGGTGGAACTAACCTTCTTGGATGTTTAACAGACATACCTTGAGATCTATACTAATTCGGTCAGAGGGACACAAAGGATGCTTTTTGCTCCTTGCCCTCCTAGGTCGATTAGTTCCCAGGGACTATGAGCATC